CCCACCTAACCCCTAGTCTCTGATCTCCAGATCTTTTCTTAGGACGATAGTGGCTGGGGCACATTTGAGAGAGGAGACATCTGGAAGACCTAAATTAAGCCTCATTATCCCCTTCCACGCACGCGTGAACGGCCCTGAAAGCCCTAGACTGAAGCTCAAAACTGGGCTTCTGGTTGGCTGCCCGTTAAGTGTAATGGGGAGGGAGGCACAGAGGGATCTTTTCTGCCCTCCTCTGCCCCAAATATCTCCCCTACCAATCAGTCCAGTGGTGCCCTAATTCTTACCACTTCACTACATTCTGCGGGTGCAGCACTCTACCCTGTGCGCACGGAAACAGACACACGAAGAGGGGAACTATGCAGCGAGAAGGCTGAACAGGGTGCAGTGTGCAGCCTCTCCCATCGCTAGTCTTTGCAAGCCTCGGCTTCCTTATCAGTGAGTGGGCACCACAATATTAAAGCTACTGTGGGATTAGATGAGGTGGCGCAGAGACGGAGTGCCGAGCACTCAATACATGGCTATTTCCTTCCCCCTTTGCTGGACCTGGGAGAAACGAATGGCTGGCCTCTTCCACCTTCACAGCTGGCTGGCAACAGCTCTGGACAGGCCGGGCAGAACAAGGAGACAAGGAGTCCCAGCAACAGCATTCAGCGTGCAGACTGTAAGACATCTGGTCAACAGGCCCAGGAAAGAGAGCTGGCAAGAACTGCAGAGCACACACAGCCCAGGCCTCCCCTCTTCTAGACTCAACTGCGCCAGCGGAGGCTACAGGGACGCAGTGGGACACAAGTATTCCCCAGAGAACACTGGCAGGGCTTTCGGGCCCACAAGGATGAGCAGCCACCCTCCTGGACTCACTCGAACAAGAGCAATAAAAGGGAAGGCGCCAGGGCCGGAGAGAGGCTGGGAAGGGTGGCCACAGGAAGTAAGAAAGAGATGGCAGATGTGACATCTGCTTTAGAAAGTAAGCAAGCCTGCCCAGAAGCCAAGGCAATGAGTGTCCCACAAGTGGAAGTACCCGCCTGGTTATTTTTGGCATTAAGGTCCAGAACCAGCAAGGAAAGGCCGCCGCTAGTAATGTGGAAGGGCTGTGTACTCTCAAGTGTGCAAGCCTGAAACAGGGACAGAAGGCACACCAGCAGCCACCGTGTGCAAGGGCCTTCACCCCCTCTTCGATGCTTAGCTGTCGCTGTGTGTGCACTGTGTAGCGTTGAGTACTTCTGCTTTCCCTTAGATCCAGCTCCGTGACCAACCACACACCACACACACACACACACACACACACACACACACACACACACACACACAGTGGAGCCAGTCCAAGGTTGAGCCACACCCAGAAGCTGAGACAGTATTCCTCTGCCTTCTTCCTGCTCTGGAGTCAGCCCTTCCAACTTCCAAACTGGGAGGACAGTGACCCTGAGGATGACACTGGTCGTAAGCTCAACCCCTCTTCCAAACCTCCCAAGGTGAAATGGGAACGGGCAAGCCCCAGCAACTCACGGCCTGCTGGCCTGTTGGCCTCCCTATGTACTATGGAAGAGGTTTAGCTAGGTGCCCCCCACCCCAGTGTTTTTCAGCTCTGGGTTAACTCCCCAAAGCTGGGGAGCCCAGAATTATGTATGAACTTCGGCCAACTAAGGCCTCAGATCCAGTGAGGTCACGTGAGGTTACAGGTGTTTGCCCCAGGTGCTGCCCCAGGCTGAGTGCAGCCTCTGCAGGGAGGAATTTGAAGGCCAGGACCACCTGCTCTGCACAGGGCCCTTTCTGCTCTCTAGTGGCCTTCCCTTCCCAACTGGCAACTTCTGGCAACAGTGGGCTGGACTAGGCCTCCTGGCTACCCAACTAGGGAAACAAATGCTGAAGCCCAATCCCCTGGCCACATTCCTCCTTCTCCGGGAGTTCATCTTCTCTTAACAATCTGGATGGCCTCAGGGAATCCCCGGCTGGCTCCACGCCTGTGGTACCTCCCTCCCTTCCAGCTTGGGTGAACAGATCTCACCCAGGCTGCTCCCCTCCCCCTCCCTGAAACTTGGAGGAAGAAGGGAGGCCTGGAAAAAGCACCCTCAGCCACAAGCCTCCCTGTGGTTGAGAGAAAGGCAGAGGGGACAGGGAGCACCTTCCCTGGCTGAAAGCGTGGGGTCAGTCGCCCTGCTCTCTCCAGCAATGAGCAACAAGCTCTTGCAGGGGGACCCTCATCCCCCTCCGGGCAAAGCTGACACATGGCAGCTTCCTTCCTATAAACTATTTCAATGTTTCTCATCCATGCTCTTGCGTGGGACAACTCCCACCCCAGCTCCACCCAAACCTCCATCCAGGTCACCATGTCAGGTAAGTACTTTGTCCTAGGCTGCAAAGTACCTATGCCCACCCAGGTGAGCTGCTCGGTTCGAGGCCTGGGAGGGTAGGCTCCCCAGAGCACAATGTGACCTCTGGGAAACTGAGCCCTTAATCCTCTGCTCTAGGGACAGTCTCTTGTAACAGCAAGGACCTGGGTAGCCTGAAATAAACCAGTCGTAACGCAAGACCTAAGGAATTAGAGAATAAGGTCCATTTGAGCAAGCTAGTGCCCCCCCCCATTATTTCCTACAAGTGGGACACCCTTCATTTCCTCTTCCGCAGTAGGGACGAAAAGCAAACTGAGCTGGACCTGCACCTCGTGACTGGATAGCCAGCATCTACAACAGACCTACTTACTATCTGCCCATCGATTTGCATGAGTAATCTTGTTTCGCCTTTACAGCCGTGCAAAGTACTATCCTCCTCTCCATTTTACAGAGGAGAAAACTCAGGCTCAGGAAATCGCACGGCCTGCGGAGAAGCTAGAGTCTGGGCCTGTGTGCTCCACGGGCACTCCCATGCACCGGCCAGGCTTCCTCCAACCAGCAGGGCGGGCGGCTGTCCACACACCATCCAGGAATGGCGTTCCAGTGTGAAAGGCAGAAGTGGGTGTGGACCAGTTTTGCTTGGTGGCTCTGGAATTTGAATCGATGCCCCCCCCCAACTGTTACAGTTCCCAAGTGTGTGGCTGTGAGAGCTCACACAAGTGTGCAAGTGGTGGGGGTGGGAGGAGGGTGATCTGGATTCCAAAGAGCAGCTTCCAACACAGAAGTCATGCTGTCATGCGTCTGATTCATAAAATGAGCTCACAGTCTCGATGTCCCGAATGCTGCTTCAAATGCAAATGTAGGTCCCTTACTAAGAACTGGCGATTTCAGTATTCCTAGTCCCAACCCGAGGTGTAATTTCCTCCAGCCGCACGGAGTTAGGAAGTGCAGAAGTAATTTCTCCAACAAAAAGTCACCACTGGCTGCATTTCCTGCAGTCTCCAATGAGTCAGGAAAAAGTAGAGATCCGCCACCACCAGCAGCTGGCCCTGTGCATGCACGCACATGTGTGCACACGCGCGCACGCACACACACACACACACACACACGAAGGGTGCCAATCTGCTCTAGCCAAATGAAATGGCCAGTTTAGCAGATCTTCAGGCAGGAAGCTCTACAACTCTCCTTCTGAGGTCCCCGTGGGGTCAGGATGACAAAGACACAGGCTCCCAGAGGCTAAATGCAGGGTAGTGTCAAGAAACAAGCTGTACCAAGCAAACCCAGTATGGTTTGTGGTGGACTGAGCCTCAGGAAATTAACGACGAAGTCAGGTGGTCCCTACAGGAGAGGAAGGTTCACTGGCCCTCCACACAGCAAATTTGTTTTTCTTTTTGAGGCAGAAACCGCATAGACCACCCAGGGTAGCCTTGAACTCATGAGCTCAAATAATCCTCCCACACCACCGACCCACACCCACCTCCCAAGTATCGGGACTAAAGGAGTGTGCTATTAACCTTGGCAAGTACCTTTGGGTGGGGGTAGTAAAGATCTCTCTCTCTCTGTGTCATCTACCTAACACATACTAAACTCTTACTGGATGCCAGGCATTGTGGAAACAGCCCTAAACTTCCACTAAAGCAGAAGCTATCGATGTTCTGCATGTATGATTCCAAGAGTCCTCACAGCAACTCTGTGAAGGAGAGCCTACACTTCTGATCCAATATATGTGTGCAAATAGAGCAGCAGCTGGGCGTTCAGAAGGCCTTCAGCAGTGACCTGAGAAATAAGTAGCAGTCTCCCAGCCACTTAGGTCCTCACCCGACACCAGCAAACTTTTCTTTCAGGTGACATGCTATCAAGGCTAAAGATTTGTGATCCGGGCTCCCAGGAAACAATCCTCTACCTACCCTGTCTCTTCCCAGAGGCCTTGGCATCCACCAGCCTTCCCCCAGGTTCTGCAGCCATGGGCAGCCCTCACTCAACTGCATCTCCAACCGTCTGTTGCCTCCCTCTTCTCCACTTACTAAAAGCAGCAGCCCGGATTTTAAAACTAGGGACATTTTTAAAATCTCTGGTTTAAAAGTTAAACTTTCATCCACCCGGGCATTCTAAGAACTCCTTGAATTGAGGATAGGGGTTCTACCTGGTGCCACGAAGGCAGCTGACAGGCCTTCCCAGAGCATTCTCCAGGTTCTCTCACCCCTTGACCCTGAGAGTTACAGACCAGAGAAACCTGGCAGAGGCCAATCCAATTAGAATGGAGACTGGGCCAGGGCTGTGCAATGAGATAGTTTATCACAGTAATTGAATGTTTACACCCCACAGAGCTGCAGGAAAGAGAGGCCCCATAAGTTCTCAACTCAAAGTCTGTCTGTCTCTTTTGCTTCTGGAGTCATCTGACCTCGCCGAAAAGAGGGCATTTCTCTGATGCTAAAAGTGCATATAATCATACTTTCCCTGGGTGGCTCTGGGCTCAGACTGACGGTTTCACCCCCAGGCTGGAGTCAGGGTGGGGGTGGGGGTCAGAGATACAATTCCATCTTCAGCAAACCATCTTAGTCCTAAAACTTCAGGGTCAGGATAACCCAGACCTCCAGACCAGGCTCCAAGTGCTGGATGAAGCCACTTGCCCCCTCCCAAGCCACAGCTTCCACCGGGACCCCCTAGACTCACGTGCCACGGTGGCCTCAAAGACCAGCCACTGCTCCCCTGTCCTGCCTCCCCTGAGCAAATAGGTCCCAAGTGGGATGGTGGAAGCAGGAAGTAGCCGCCGAAGTCGTAGCCAACAAAGTTTAAAACGAGGCAAGAAACTTCCCCTTTCATCTTTCCAGCAGCTCAGGCCAGAGATGGCTTTGGAACACTCATTTGGGTGCAGGCGCCTCCTCCAGGTCTGCTTTGGTTCTGTGGCTTAACAGCCCCAGGTACCCAAAGTTCCTCAGCTTCCCATAGTCTTTCCTTTAAGGCGTGGGTGGGGGGCGCAGCCGAGGTCCACATGCCCCTCATTGTGAGCGCGTGAGGCGGGGAATTATTAACTCCAAAGAGCCCGCCATATGCAGGGCCCAGACGAACCCGGGCTCCAAAGCTCACGACAAGCACCATGGAACCCAGCACCCGGCCAGGGACGCGGGCGTGCGGGGGCGGGCGAGCCAGATGACAGGTCTGAGGTGCACCAGCAGCGCCGGGCGCGCGGGGTGAGGCGGCTCCACGCTCGTCGTCCGGCCCGCGCGGTCAGAGCTCCAGCCTAGGCCTCTCCAGCACCGGCCCCAGTTCCCCGCCCCCACAACCCCCCAACGCCGCAGATCTGTCCCCGCAAAGTCCCCGCGCCGACACAGAGCCCCGCATGCCGGAACGAGAAGGGACGCCGGCTCCAAGTTCTCGCAGCTCGCGAGTCTCTCGTCGCGCCTCCCCGGCCCGTGCCGCCAGCGGGTCCCTGCGGTCACCACGTTTCTCGCGCGCGCGCAGGAGCAGCAGCCGCGGTCCCCAGCCGCTGGTACCCGGGCTGGCGAGGCTCGGGAGGGCT